ACAGTTTATTAACGCAGTTAAAATGTTGGTATTATTTCTCTCTTGTTTTCTTTTCGTCCAAAACCGCAAATCCGTAATACAACTAACTTTGTTACCTATTTGTGTGTACTACCGCTCAAGAAATGAGTTTCCCATACTTGCTCCATCAACTGAGCGGAGCCGCGATTAGTTCATTTATAAGAATGGAGGGCATGGAGTTAAGTTAAACTTGGAAAAAAAACGTGGAATTATGGTAATTTTATTACGCAATTCTAGAAAAAAAGTGAGGAACTCAATTGGAATTTTAGAAAATTAGAAAAGTTTTTTAAGTAGGTAGTTTGTTTCAATTTTAATGAAAATTTGAATTTGTGCTTTCGTGACCAACGCGAACCTTTTGTAGACGAAGTAACAAAGAGAGCTGCTGTATTTCGTTACACTACGATTATTTTCTGAATGTTTTTGCGTAACCTGAGCTGGAAATGTTGGGTCTATTTGGCGCCGACTTGTGGAGAATTGCATTCAATAAAGCTGAAAATGTGGAAAAGGAATTGACATTACAAACGCGTTCATGGGTATCGTAGGAAAGTTCTTGAGAGCTTATTATAATCAGAAATAGGAGGTGTACAATGTAGGTACATGCTGAATCTTTTCATAACTAAATTAACTAACATGTGTGTATGATTATGTTTGTACGGCTGTACCTATTAATTTTTGGTGTCGGAACAGGTCAGTTGGTCAGATAGGTATCCTATACCAATCGCGGGAAATGGTTCGGATATTCATTCAGCATCATGTTTTGATGGAATGACGTTTCACCAACTAAAGAAGACATAAGTGTGTCGGAAATTGATATACGTCGGGAAAATCTATCGATTAATCTGTCACAGTATTGTTGGAGCAATGAATGAAATATCAACTGTATTTATACGAAAATGGCCGGGCGTATATACTGTTTGAATAGAAATTTTATGTTTATATCCAATTCTATTCAAAACCTTTATTTCAACCTCCATGCGATTGTTTGTGTCGTAAAGGCGTGTCAAGTTGACTCATTGTTTATTAGACGCAATCAGTGTTGCTCTCCGAGATCTTACCCGTTCCTGACAGTTTGTTCAATGTACACAAAGTGCTCATTAACCGCACAATGCTTTATAAACGGTAAAGCGAACATTAGTTAAGCCTTCAATTTAAAAGTTTAATGAGTTGGTTTTTGTTTGAGGCGTGTATCCTGAAAACGAATGTGTGCAGATTAGTTACTCGTACCTGTGTTAAGCATCCATCAAATTAAAACCAGTAGCTTCTGGATAATGTTGATAGTTTTCATTTTTATTTATTCATAGATTGATTTCTTTTGGTTTTACATGTAGCCCTAAATCACAAATGTCGTATCCAATCGTGAAGTTTATATAATTTAACATAATAGCAGTATCGACGGGCTCGTGAAGTGTGGTAAGTTAAAAGGTTATCGATTTGATGATAAAATATACATTTTACTTGGCATTTTTTTGGATTGCTATAAAGATTTATGATCTTTAATGCGCACAAGGAATTGGGGTGAAACACCATCTCTTTTCTAACTCACATAAGACCCAAAACCCTAGCCGATACACTATCATTTATTCAGGATTTCATCTACACATTTTTTGTTATCTATAGGTACAGCAATTTATTATCCCTCTCTTGTTCTGGGCCCTCAACAGGCTTGCGCCCAATTACAGAGTGACCCGCATAATGCTTTTCAGAGGTGCCTCTGCAGAAGGTCTTAAGTTGTTCTATACTACTCCGGCATTTACCTTACGAATTAGGAAAACCTAATTCGGAGTAGCTGGCAGAATGCTCGAAATTGGTCTAAGGTAATTCCCATCTCTGGCACAGATGAAAAATTCACCTCAACCCAGGTTCGAACACCCGACCTCCGGATTTATAGCCCAGCGCTCTACCACTGAGCCATAAAGCCGGTGTTATCATCGAAAGTGTCAGATATGGGGGTCCGTGAAGTTGGAGTGTCGACTTGAAAGGAATTAAGTTCCAAGTATCTCATAATTTTGTGCTAATTTGTGCTGCTAATTTAAAATTATGTGCTCATCAGGTTAATGAGAAATCCAACTTTTCCTGATAGTACTCACGTCACAACTTCACGCTATAATGTCAACATTGGTATTTTCAAAATTGTTTATTGTATTAATTTGGCTTCATGTTATGCTAATTTGTTTTGCTAATTTAAAATTTTGTGCGAGACACGGTATTGATATTTCAAATTTTTCGCATGACACGGTTGAGATAGGTGAATTTTTTTTCATGCTTATTCCATTACCGTTGCCAGAAATAAGCTGCCGTCTTTTGTTTTTTCACTAATTAGAGAGAAAAACCGAAAAATTTTGAAGCTAGAACAAAATGGTTTTAGCATTATTCAGGCAGTTTTTAACGTAGAAAATCAATGCCGTCCGTTTTTTGTTTCTAGACCTTTTAGTAATTGCGCTGCAACTCAAAATTGATTTTTTTTATAGAAATTATAGTTGACCAACTTTTGTTATTAACTTTCAGATTAGACAAGAAGCAAAATTAATTGTAGAAAAATTATTATTACAAATAAGTATGATATACATATCATACATTTTGGGAAAGCTCGTAAAACAATAAATCTTTTAAAATCATGGTAAACTGTAACTTCAATTTAAAAAAATCAACAAGTTACAATGAGTTACAACGCAGTTACTAAAAGGATTAGAAACAAACAAATCGTGCAAAACAAATAGGGCTGAATTTGTGTTTATGAATTTATAACATTGGTCTCAACAACAATGAAATTTTGTGATAAAATAGTTACCCAATTTTCCTGTATAGTTAGTTGTAATGACAATTATCAGACTGCAGAACGTAATGAGACCTGTAAATGCAATATCTGTTTGCCCAGCTTGCAAAATAAATGTACGATTCTTAAATGTTTTCTATTTGTTTTAATGGTAGAACCTAGTTTTTAGCCCATTTTCCAACTGATGTTGGAAGGCGCAATCAAGGCCACTTTCTCCGTCCGTCGATGCGAGGGCGCCACTGCTCCTACAGTTTTGAATATATTTAGTGCGTTCTTCTTGAATTCGGTACCTCTGGCACCTCAGCCAAGAAAAATCTTGACGATAGATGTGTGCATGCGTCTCAATTTTATTATTTATTAATATATTTTGCTGAAATTTTCACCACAGATGCTGATAGTAAAGGCAAACATATCGCATATAGTAAAAATCAGGTGTGCGCAACTGCGCAATGAATGCTCGCATCTTTTTTTATAGATATTTTTTGGGAATTTTAACCACAGATGTTTCTAGTAAAGGGAACCGTCTCATATTATAAAAAATCAGATATACGCATGCGCTAAAGCCCAATACTAATTTCCATATTTTTAACGATGGATGCTTCTAGCTACGTATATCTGTGCTTCTAGTAGAGAAAAATATAGCTCACATTCCAATGGAGAAAGTACTGAACAATACATGAAAAATGTGCTCAAGTTACTCGTCTTAGGCCCAAACCCCTTTATTTTTAACTTTTATGTGCATAGTAAGGTGCCTTTTGCGTATTCGCTCTCGTTTTTTCATTACTCTCCCTTGAGCTACATCCAGGGGTGTATTTCCATCAAGGTAGACTAGTTGCGCGCCTAGAGCGGCAAATTTTAGGGGCGGAAAATTTTGGAGGACACATTTTCAGTATTAAGCAATTTTGGTTTTGTTTAGCAAGAAGCGTAGAGACCACATAAATATTGCTTGTTTGTCTAGTCCAATGAATAAAGAATACCAGGAAGGAGCATTAATCAAGTTGTATACGAGAGAGAGTGCGACGGAAGTCGGCCATTTGCAAAAGCCACTTATGAGTTCTTCCTCCTTCCTTTCCTTCTTTTTATTAACGACTTGACTAGTGTGCTCACATGCAAGAACTTATTGTTTGCTGATGATCTTAAGATCTATGCTTCTGTTACTGACATTAGTGACTGCTGGGCTTTACAGTTACAATTGGATCTACTAGCGAACTGGTGTGAGACAAACCAGCTGGCGTTAAATATATCTAAATGTCATGTCGTATCATATACTCGTAAATCCAACCCAACTATGTATACATATACCATTGGAAATGAAGAGTTGCGTCGATCCACAGCGGTAAAGGATTTAGGTGTTCACTTCAGTTCTGACTTTTCATTCTGTGAACATATAAACCAAACACACTCGTCAGCTATGAAATCCTTAGGCTACATTATAAGAAATTGCAAATCATTCACTGATATATCTGCATTAACGATCTTATATATTTCATTTGTACGATCAAAAATGGAGTACTGTGCATTAATATGGCAACCGTACCAAGCCTACCTAAAAGCTACACTGGAATCTGTGCAAAGAAGATTTTTGAAATTTCTTTCTTACAAAGCTGATGGTATTTATCCAGAGAGAGGTCATCCTCAACATTTACTGCTGTCTAGATTCAACTTAAATTCACTGGAAGAAAGAAGAATTAAGTCTAACGTCACATTCCTGTATAATCTCTTTCATAACAAGATAGACTGTGGCGAGATACTAAAATTAATAAATTTATATGTACCATTTTATGCTTTCACGGTCGTCTACCAAATTTTATTGCTCCCTAAACCGAACACAACAACAATATTGGCTGCTTCTCCTATTCATTTTATGTGTGGCAAATTTCAATAGAATATCAAAATATGTGCGACATCCACTTCTCACCTCTAGATAGTATCCTATTAAACTCTTAGGCACGAATAAAGTACTTGATTTGTAATATCTTAATTTATATACTTAAAATTTTCTTTTTAATCATTTTTCTATAAAATTCTACTTACTAAATCTTTTTTTCTTTTCTTATATACCTATAATGCGCCTTACGTTTAGCTTTAATAGTAATTGACCTGTAATTGGATGTATTTATATCTGTCGGTCAATAAACATTATTATTATTATTTTTTTTTTATAAATTTTTTCCTCACTTGTCGTGGATAAAGTAACGAGGGCTTTCGCAAAACTTATTACTTGTGGACTTGTTCAATGCATTACTTTCCTTACTATCCGGCATGTTTCCAATACTGTTGATTTTTGCATATCTATTATAACTTGGATAGGTAAATTATGTTTCTTGAATTCCGTGTATAGTTCTGATGGTATTAGGCCTGTGACTGATATGATTATTGGTAGGATGAGAACTTTTTCCATTTTCCACATCATTTTAATTTCTTCTGATAGGTCGGTGTATTTCCTGATTTTTTCTGCGATAGTTTTCTGTATGTTGTGGTCTAATGGGTGTGCGATGTCTATTAATGTTGTTATTCTGTGTATTTTGTCTATTGTTACTATGTCTGGTCTATTGTTTGTTATGATTTTGTCCGTGATAATACTTCGGTCCCAGTAAATTTTGTAGTTTTTATTTTCGTGAACTGGTTCGGGTATATGTTTGTAATACGGCTCTTGTGTTGATTTGATGTTATATTTCTGAAGTAAGTATTTGTGGAGAATTTTAGCAGTGAGATTGTGTCTATTTAGATATTCGGTTTGAGCTAGGCTGGGACATCCAGATGTTATATGTTGTATTGTTTCTGAGGTGCTTTTACACATTCTGCAGCTGTCACTTCCTGTATTGATTTTTGATATATATTTTTGGTAATTTTTAGTTGGTATGACTTGGTCTTGTATTGCATACATAAACCCTTCTGTTTCTATGTATAACTGTCCTATTTCCATCCATTTCGTTGACAGCGGATGTTGTTTGTTGAGGTTAGTTTTAAATTGACTGTGTAATTTTTTACTGCTCCATTCCTGTGCAAGGTTTGTTATGAACGTTTTCTTGTCTGTGTGTTGTACTTGGGTGTGTGCGCTGAGGGGTGTGTATTTATTGTCTGCTTGATTAATAGATGCATGTAGTTTTGAATGTATCGCTTTTGTGTTGAAGTATGTTTGTAACTTGTGTATTTGTATATTGTGTGCTGCTTCTATGTTAATTAGACCTCGTCCACCTTGTTTTCTGGGTAGGTATAACCTCTCGATAGCTGAGTTTGGGTGTAGAGCTCTATTGCTTGTTAGTGTTCGCCTTGTCAGTCTGTCTATGGCTTGTATGTCTGTTTTTGTCCATTGTATTACGCCAAAAGAATAGGTTAATGTAGGTATTGCCCATGTATTAATGGCTTTGATTTTATTTTTTGCATTTAGTTGTGTGCGCATGATCTTTGTTAGTCGGTCCTTATATTTATTTTCTATGTTTTGTTTCATGTCTTTTGTATTATACGTAAGTGTTTCTTTTATTCCTAGATATTTGTATGTTTCTTCGTTAGATAGCGTTGGGAATAGCATATTGTTTATTGAAAGTTCGATTTTATCCGTCGGTATTACTTTACCCCTTTTTACTATGAGTGACGCGCACTTGTCAAGTCCAAAATTCATCCCAATGTCTTTAGAAAATCTAGCAGTGGTTTCTAAGAGGTTTGACAATTTGTTTTGGTCTGGGGCGTACAGCTTTAGATCGTCGACGTAAAGCAGATGCGACAA